AGTATTTTGTATTTTATTTTGATACATTTATTTGAGGGGTATTTTGTATTTTGTATCAAAATACATGTTAATGTATTTTTGCCCATCTCTGGTGGGTATTATATTTCACTTTACATTGTCTGTCAAATAACTGGAAACTGAAATGATAGATATATTGTATGAAAAAGTCAGTGAAACAGACTTATTGTCTTGAAACATCATTCATCTGTTTAGACTTACTACTCCAGAGCACTTACTTTAACTTGTATAATTCTGCAAGTAAATAATTTGTTTTTGAAATAAAGGATTCAACATTCTGGATCATTCTGAGTTTCAGAGAATACTCTCTTGTCTGTCCCATAGACAGAAAGTCATATTGTGATGATTTATAACACGTTTTGTGCACCTGTAAATATTAGTGAAGCATTGTTTACAATGTACAAATAAAGCTGTATCCAGCACATAGTTAATATAGGCTAATTGAATAAATAACGTACAGAACGTGGATGTACAGAATAAAGTTTGTTTAAACTTGACTGAATTTCAGCTCTATTAATACATTTGATGTTATTGAGATTATTTTCACAGTGAATCAAATTGTACTCTGATCCGAGTAGGATGAAGACAGTGTAGGAAAAAACCATAGATATTATTTTTTATGAAAAATGGAACACAATTTTCCTTCATTACAGCTGAAAAAATAAAACCAATGAATTGCCAAATAGTTTCCTTTTTTGTTGTGTCTCCTCAAATAACAAGCAGGCTTATTTACACAGCTGCTTCTGGCACAGATCATAATAACTTGGACAAAGAAGCTGAGGTTCTTTTTCTCTGCAGGGGAAAGTAAGATTAAACTACACTGTTGTGGTAATTTATTTTTTATCTATGATTTTTCAATTTCAGACACGAAGACAGAAGCAGGGGATCTTATTTTTAGTCAGCTTTGGCTGCTGAGATGACAACTGTCGCTGGGATATTTTATAATCTGTAACAAGCTGCTTTGAAAACTCCTCCTGACTTTAATGTTTCCGGTATACTTATATGAGACACAAAGCCCAGAAACAGCTGTATTTCTTACGGAAACATAAGAAAGCAAAATTCTCCTGCTGGGACCCTTACAGAGGAGCAATAGAAAGCAGAATGGAGACATTACAAACTGGCATGCGCATGGCCCAGGACAGGAGGGCTGTGCAGCGACTCCTCCATGTGGAACTTTATTCCCAAATTTGTTTTTGCTCCCCTTCCTACTGGGACGCAATTATAAAATACATCAAATACACAAACAGGCTTCATTGCCGTTAAATTTCATTTACAAGCACAATTTCTCACTACAATGGTATTAAATCTGGAAATACTGTGATATTTTAGAATTTAAGTAACACACTGGTCGTGGGGGCTATTGCCAGATGTTCTGTACATTTGTGGTAGGGTTTTGTATATCAAGAAAATGTTTCTTTGGTTAATTCTGTTGACACTCCTTGTTGGAAAATGTGTGTTTTTCT